ATATATTACTGTTCATTGATATACCATGCACAGCTTGTATGAGTTGCATAATTTTATATACAAGAAAGTCTTTGATACAGACTTGTACCTGCACAAATAAACTGCCACACTCTTGTGCACAAAACAATTCTGCACAGTATCAAAGGTCTAGGTTTAGGCAATCATTACCTTATAATAATACATTTTATTACCATTGTTGAGAATAATCTTAAAAATATTTTTCAATGGATTAATTCAACTGGCACAGTGCTCGTGCTATAAACCAAGAAGTTTGAAGTTTGTGCTTGAGCACACGCATATCATACTTCTGGATGAAGAAAGACGAAAGGAAAATGCATCTTGTTCAATGACACAAAAAATATGACAAGCATCTGAAGAAAACCTTAACCATTTAGTCTAAGTATAGCTTCATATGCTTCCATTATTAATAATGTACTGTAGTATTTTTGGAAAATACATTTTTAAAATTAACCTTAAGAGGATACAATGGAATAAAATTATTACTCATTACTATCAGGCACTTTATTGGAATAAAAAATGATATATTAATATTTTTTCTTAATATTTTAAAAAACAAAAAAGTACCATTCACATCTTGGAAGGCATCTCGTAATTTCTGTTAAAATTTGTGTATTGCACATTCAAAGTGATAAAAAACAATTTGTTGTAAAATAGCATGAGTTCAGGCCAAAAAAATTGGAGTGTTGCCCAAGGATGAGATTTGGAAATCAAGGTCTGTTGACAGTTGGCAGGGGCGGATTCAGATTTTTTTTTATTTCAATACATAACACGATACGCATCAAAATTTCTTAATTTAGTGGCAATCCCCACTGGATCCGCACCTGGTTGGATTTTTCTATTTCAGAATAGGTATAAGTTTCATTAGAATAGGACATTATATTTTTTGTATCAAACACATCGAAGACTTGTTCGTAATGTAGGCAGTACACTGGGAGAATATTTTCCTAATCCTTTCCGTAAAGTGTAATGCAATAAATTTTGTATATGGACCAAGGACCATCTCATTTGAAAGACAGTGTGTTATCATAACTTGTATTTTAGCAGAAACACAAAGAGAGCAGTGATTGGAATGGAACCAGGAATCTAAGATTGACATGGTTCAGCCCACATCCACACACACACACACAAACAGCGGTTACCACCCGTTTACTGGCTGAGAAAACCTGCTTTCTAAAGTTCTAGAGTTTATTGCCAACCAAAAGGCTACAATATGTATGGTTACGGTACCAATTTTATAAATTAAAGCTTGAAGAGTGGCCTTGGCTAAAATTGAAAGCCAACACCAGATTTCTTAGATATTTTTGAGCAACACTTTTTTTTTTGCCCCAGTCATAAACCAACCTCAGTAATTGTAAAAATATTATATGTAGTCTCACATATATCAGTAACTAGTAGTATTAATACAAAATAATTACATCAGCCCATTTTCCTTGAGTAGATACTAAATTGCTACAAAATATCAAGTAACTGTAGCTTATATGGAAGTCAAGTCACAAGTTGTTTAGTACGTATACATGTAGAAATATTCAGGCATCATTAATGCATCCATACTAGAACATATGGAAGTAAAATTTAATTCTGATTATATCAGTAAATTGGCTAATACGTTTTTATTACATTATATTCCATACCTTGTTTATCAAACTTTAATTTTTAAAGATTTTCTGAGAACATAAAAATATAATTTTAATTATTTATTTAGCAAAATGGTTCTACCATACAAATCTAGGTATAGGAGAAAATAACAACATAATTTTATTGACTAGTAAACAATGAGAGTGTAAGATAAGGTATTGAGATATTGAGAGGGATATCATGAAGGTGGTGGGCATGATAAAAATAATTTATTATTTTTCAAAAACAAGGTATAAAATATTCTTGATTAAGGTATATAAAAACTATACAATCATACAATCTTGTTCATGTTTTCATATGTGTTTTTTTTTCTAGATTAAGCCTAATTTCAGCCAATTTGGCTAGCACCATGCTTCTTCAGTACACATATAAACCTAGGCGAAGTACACACGCCGTGTGACCAGACATGGACTTAACTTGCCTCATTTTATATGAAACCCCAAACCTTATTACAACACCACATGTTTTTCAAAATTAATATATCATTATAACTATCATCATCTTCCTCTGGAATTTTAATAAAGGTGTGTTTCTGCAACACATTATGAAAAAATATGATAATCTACCATACTTGCTTCCATTGCAAACTAATTTTAGTGTAAGATTAAAGTGGCCATCTTATTTTTTAAGCATTCTGGTCCGGGAAAACTGCACCCCTATTAATAAACACAGTAAATACCATTCTAGGCCTAATTGTATCAAGAGTCTCAGGAGTGTCAACGTGGGGTATCAGGCAAAGCATCTACCGGAACTATTTTCCTGGACATTTTAGGCGGAGTCTCATATTTCTCTTGGTGACAATGCATGTAAATAAAATACAATGTATCTACAATAGCATTATGTAGCATTAAGAATTTTATTAAGATGATTAAGCAACTACTCCCTCTAGTGTTCATATTAACAGCTACATCCTTGCCTAATGCATTATGGGCTGGGTACCACTAATGACCTTGAATTTCAGGAGCTGGTCACGTTGGAGATGTCAACCTTTGTAAACCTATGACGGTTTGCCGCTTGGAAAGACGTAGGCACTTGGGACATTGATTTCCTCTCTTGTAAAAACAGTCCCTGCAAACAATAATATGGTCATGTTTATAATCAAAACATTTTGTAATCATGCAATTCATATATCTAATCACCATTGCTTATCTACTTCCATTTATTAGTACAGTAATGCTAAAAAATGAAACCCTCATGTATGACCTTAATTGTTTTAAAATTCAATTTTACTGAAAGTTTTATTAGCCTAAATATCATAACTTTCATTTCATCTAATATGTGAATTACCACATACAGAATGGAATATACTATACTGTGCTCTATAAACATGTTTCGTTATTTGAAATGAATGAAGTTGTTTCCAGTCTTCAGAAAATATGTTGTATTTAATGGATTTGAACAGCTGTGGCTCCAGAAAAATTCGAAAAGGTGATTTAAACCCTGGACCATGGGATTAGAAGGCAAGCGCCTTAATAAACAATTATAATAATAAAGATAAATAACTTTTTTGTCAATACTGTATTATATAACACCTAAATATTACAAGAAAAAAAAAAGGAAGAAAAATATTATTATACTAATTAATACATTTTTGATTTGGTACCTGTGAAAGACTGCTCTACATTGCCTGCAACGTGATGCAATAATGTCAAACGGGTAGATGATCTCATCAACTCCACAGAGTTCACATATGTAACCCTTCCCTTGGCAAAGCTGAAACAAATAAAACCACCATCAGTTACTTTTAATGTTTCCATTAAAGTTAAAGCAATTCCTTGACATCGAAAGCACAAAACTCACTATTTACAGCATGAAACAATGTGATGATAAGAGTGGTCGAGTGGTAAAGAAGGGGTGCCGCTAACTACAACCTTAACATTGGCAGTGGTTCCAGATGCTCTTTACCCAGGGTTCCTAGAGAAGGTCCAGTGTACACAATTGGCTCATGTACACCTTAAAGAACCCATTGTACCTTTCAAAAGAATAGTGGTTACCCTGATGCCATGTTATATTTCAGACCTTGTCATTATAGTGCAATGTCGTGAACATGGATGTTACATATACGTCTGTCTATGGCTTCCACAATGGTCGCAGAAGCCTAATAACATTGGAATTAAGGGTTATTATTAAATTTGTTTATGAATTATTATGGATATTTCATAATATTTTATGTCAAATGTTATACCTTTAATGATCTACTATGTAAACTGAACAAACCCCAAATTCTACCCCATTTTCACAATGGAACAGTTCATGGTCTAGTGGTTTTGTCCTTGGTGGTTTTGTCCATTACCATGTCAACTCACCTGGCAATCTATCTTGATGTGAACAACATAACGACTATGAATTTTCTCAATTTGTTGTAGCAGAGAATTCTGTTCCAAATCAATCAAATCTTTTAAAGAGTACATATCAAATGACTCCACAAAATGTCTTCTCTCATTTAGCTATGGAGAAAGAAAATTTCCATGTCAGCAAAATTTTGAATTAAAGTCAGAGAAAATTATAAGTGGAAAGGATGTAGTGAAACACAATGCTTGTGGTACACCATGTAGATAGCTATGAAGAGTACTGTTGTTGGTTGAGAATGTCTCAATGTTTTAGATAGATAGATAGAAATCTTTCTTTATTCTAGATACTCAGTCAGTATTAGTACACTGTTCTTCCCTGAGGTCCAGGGTATGATCTTAAACTACTTTAAATTAAAAACAGAATTGATAAAGAAATATATAAGTTACATAAATATAAGAAGCAGAAAAAAGATTGGTAAATTAAATTAGATTTTTAAAGGATTTTAGGGAAATAGAATGAATATTACTGCGGATATCTGATGATAAATTGTTCCATAAATTAACGGATCGGTATTTAAATGTTCTTTTTCCAAAATCATTCTGCCATTTTGGTGAGATCAATGTGTTTTTTGATTTGCTTCTTGTATTTATGTTATGATATTCATCGATTAATTCGTAAAAATGTGTTAAGTATGCTGGAACAGTTCCTGATAAGCATTTAAATGTCATTGCAAGAATATTATATTCCCATTGTTTGTCCACAAGCTTCCAATTTAGTGATTCCATAAGATCATAAACAGGCGTTCTTATATCAGCGTACAAAATAATTCTGGCCAGTCTATTTAGTAATACCTGGAGTGAATTAAGATGTGCTTTGATTGAGTTACTTCAATCATCTTCAGGAAAATAATATCTGCAGAAAATTCCAAAGGGATAAAACACGTTATATCGTCATTGCGGACTTATAAAATCCGCATACGCCTTAAAACTAAAAGAAAATGCATACATTTAGAGTCCGTACTGAGCCCAAAAAATCCGCAATGAAAATATAACGTGTTATAAGTTAATTCCAAGGGAAATAACTTATATGTTTGGTTAGTGAGACTACTGATTGAGGCAGGAAAAGGAAAAATGGATCTTTTACAGGAATTAGAACTTAGATAAAAATCAGACCATTTTTACACCAACAGCAACAACTAACAGAAATGTGATATAATGTAGTAAAAAAATACTTTAATTGACAAACCTGCAAAAGCAGTTGGCCCTCCAAAGCATTCCGACAGGAAAGAAAATAGGACTTCATTATCAAAATTTCTTCCCGTAATTTCTGAAAATAATGAAACTAAATTAAACTTTTGTAGTTAAAATTTGGATGTTGAGAATGAGGTATGTGTGTGTGATTGAGGGTTAAAGATACATAATTTATAATATTCTAACAATGGTATATAAAGTGCGGGATGTGTAAATTTTCAGCTGAAATCCTGCAAGTTACCTAGCCATAGATGTTGGATTAGGTCTCTTTGGATTGCCAATTTAATAGATGGACGCGGCCTCATCCCTTAGGATTGCCAACTGAACCTAAAACCTATCCTTACCCTTAATTGACTGAGTTCCTCAACGTAGTTGAAAAGTCTGTCATTGACTGCATCTACCTTCAACACCGCCCTCTTCATCATCAGCTGTAAAAATTGTTTCGATTGACGACACACCTACAAGGATGCAAGTACAAAACAAACCATAATTTAATAAACCTAATAATAACAATAACAACAAAAATAACAGTAACTAACATAATATTAATAACAGTAATTCATTGACATTTGACACTGATAAGACCAATAACACAGACTTGGTTGTACTGTGGTGGAAGCAGAGGCTGCTGTTCCAGACAGAAAGATCTGGAAGTTTCTAACAAGTCAGGCAGCAGGTGCAGAAACACATGATGCTGTTCGGTAGAGTATGTATGAGAATGCTAAGTCTGTGGATTGACCTTTCTTGGTTCGAAGTCCCAGTTGTGCAACACTCTAGCTGGGATCACCTCCGTATCATTCCAGTGACATTCTGTGCAAAAAAACTTCCCTGAGTAATCACACTGACGAATATCAGAAGCATCCTCTGAAAAGACAAATGAATTTCTAATAAATGAATTAGAAACTCTGGCATAAGGCTGGAGGCAACAGAAAGGTGTATATTGGGCAGAGCGGCAATGGACCAGGCGGCAACATACTGGAAGCTACAGTCAGATTGTTAAAACACCTAATAGCAAAGATAGAGTGGGCTGGCTGCAAACTGGCTGGTGGCATGGAGCTGGGTGGCAAGGGTAAGGTGGCAAGCAACAGGCAGAATGTTAAAACACCTAGTAGCAATTATAGAGTGGGCTGGCTGCAAACTGGTTGGTGGCATGGACCTGTGTGGCAAAGGCAAGGTGGCAGAAGGCCAGGTGGCAAAGGAAAGGTGACAAAAGGCCAGTGACATAAGACTGAGCACCAACAGACCGGTAGTAAATATTGGATTTAAAAAGGCAATGTATTAAAAGGGTCAAACCTCTGGGTGAAGTAATACCATTTTTATGTTGTGTATTACTTGGAAACTGGGGTTTAGCCGGAAAAAAGAAATAGGCCGTCCTAAATGGAAGACGATCACGTAGCGGCAGCCGAGGTGCGAAGCCCCAAGTGGGGATGGGTGGTATTTGCTAAAGGTAGACCAGGCCCAACTAGGCTAAGCCGAGCTGAGTAGGCCAAGCCATCCAAGCCGTCATGGCAAAAGTAGCTGCCATAAATAATTGTTGGCCATCTAAAAGACGGCCAGACGGCTCACTGGCTAAGCCCTTACTTGGAAATAAAAAATAAAAAAATTCAAATAGAAAAAAGAAAGGTTAGGACGGCTCGCTGCCTAAGCCCTTGCTTGGAAATTTAAAAAAAAAAAAAATTCAAATAGAAAAAAGAAAGATTAGTAAAGAGTTAAACTTACTGAAAGAAATGGGAGTCTTGCATTCAGCACACCGATAATTTTGGGCAGACAAGCCTATTTCTGGACAGATTTCTGTTGAGTAGTTTGCACCAGATAGCTAATAAGCCAAAGTAGAGAAAAACAACAATAATGTATGTAGTCATTATAATAAAGTTAGCATTAATTCATAGAGAATTACGGATAAGCCAATGGTCAGCACAGTGGTGGCTACAAACATTTGCCGATCAGGGGTCCGAAATGTTCGAAAGGAGGTTCCAAATCTAAGGTGCCGACTAGAGCCTTGGTCATGGTCCTGGAACAAAAATACTTGGTACCTTTCACAGGGTTTTTGGCTTAGTATGGCCTGTAACTTAGAGAGTAATTTACTTATTTTCCTTTTTATTCAATTCATTTTATTTTATGTTTGTTTCCCGCCCTGGAAAGGAATACATTTTTGTGTATATTATTTTATATAGATTGAATGAAAGTGATTTGTAATAAATATTAGACCACAATATTAGGAACTGGCAATCAAAATATTGTTATTTAGGTGAGAAAATTATTATTTTTGGTCCGACATCCTCATCGTGGCGTAGGATGACGGGGGTCCAGGCCTGTCTAATGGGGGAAAATGCCCTCCCTGCCTACCCACTGGCGCCACCCACTGGATCAGTGCAGTTATGATGAACCTTGATTTGCTTTAAAACAATGTTTTATACAAATGCTGCCCTCTTCGGTTTCATTGCTGGATGAAAAAAACAAGGTGTGACCGAAAAACTCATAACCGGTACCTAGAAATCCATATGAAATAAATAATTAATGCAATATATCTTTAGAATTCACCATGAATTCAACCTCATAATGAAGTCGATAGCAAATTGATTATAATATGTGGAAAATGCAATAAATATGATTGGCTTTGGCCTGTAGTTCATCATCAATAGAGTTGTGGTGAATTTTATTAATTTATTGAAATGCTTCATTTTTTTGCAATGATTTTTTGCAATAGAAATGAATAAAAAAAAAAAGGAAATATACAAATAACAATTAATGATGATGATAATAACAATATTTATTTGGCAAATATACAGACATAGGAATGGGAATGGGTGTAAGCCTGAACAAAAGCAGGTCTTGTCCCTCACAATAAATAATATAAACAATAAATTAAAAAAATTAATATATTTGAAATTTTAAGTAGAATTATTGGAGTGAATGTCAATCAAAAGTTGTTGAGAAGCACAGTATAAATTTATTAATTAAATATACAAAAGAAACTAATGAAAAAAGAAGACACAAAATAGCATATGAGTTATAAAGCAGCAATCCCTAATATAAAAAAATCCAAAAGGAAAGAGAGCGGAAAGCCAACAATGACATGGAAGATGCATCTGGAAAAAAAAGCAACTAAAGAAGACTCATTCATAGTTTCTTTGTCACGGATACAAATGGGTTTTGATTATTAATGAATATTGAATACTGCAGACTGGACAATCAAGATAACAAAGAAGACACAGCTTGTTGTATTTGTAATTACTGGCACTAATTGGCTTACAGATCTAGTAATTATACTAATTAAGTCAAATATTATGCAATCAATCTACATAGTTAATTGTATCTTGCAATTGTCAATTACAGTCTATCATGTTAGACTTCATGTCACACTAAATCAAATCAAAAAGTTCAATGATCAGTGACAGATCAAAGGAGTGGAGGAAGGAACATTAGACTGTCATTCCCCACATCCACAACACCATTAGAAATAAAAAATAATATACAATGCCCCCTCCAATTTGAGACCACTCTAATTCCAAGATCCCTCTAATTTGAGACCACTTCTCCAAAGACACAAATAACAATCTTCTACCCTTTAACACAAAGCTAGCCCTCTAATTGGAGACCAACCAGAGACCACCCCAAATTTTCAGGTCCCAAGGGCAGTCTCGAAATGGAGTGCGAACTGTACTAAATTATATTTACAATAGTTCAAAATATTTTCAATATGTAGTGCATCATATAGTGTATTAGCCACACCTGCAAAACATATTATTAAGTAGTATCATTGAGTTTATTTTATGTAGCATGATATAAAATACTGTGTATATATACAAGTATCTGATATTCAATGGCCACATATTCAGACATTATACAGAGAACACATAAGTTAAGCGACAGTACTACTACTGATTATAATAATCAATACAGTACACATAATTTATCAAGAAGGCAGTGAATTAGAAGAATTATAGATTACTACTGCAATGAAAATATTAATATTGGCAGATTAGAACAATTCTTACCAGATGCAACAAGAATAAATATACTGGAATGATAGAGTTATGTGCCTCGGTGGTGATAGAGGAACTAGTTAAAATTGCTTATAAATGCATGGATAATTATGGAACCGGTGCCAATCCCCAATAATAATGCATGGATGTTAATGAAAACCGATGCCAATATCTTACCTTTCTGCTGACGCACTCGCGCTTGATTAGGTTCAAGCATTTACTATGGCAGTTCAAGCCACAATCTGAGAATAAAAATGCAAATTTAATCAAGAGATTGTATATTAAACCTACTTGTAAAGTCAGGCTCTGGTGAAAAAAAAAAGGGTTTGATAGGTTGTTGAATTGATTTTTCTAAGACAGAATAACTGTGGAACGGTGAACGAGATACCCCAGTTTTTAAATATTCAAAAATCTGTATCTCATTCACCATTGCCCAATTTTTCATCAAACAACTCTTTTTCTGTCTTAGAAAAATCAGTTCTACAACATTATCCCAAATTATTTCCCCTCCGGAGTCTGACTTTAAAGGATGCAATGTGGCATTATGGACCAAGGCGAGACATATTTTATATCTTGTTTAGTCAACCCGCTGCCCGCCATTAATGAATATATCTAATAAAATATACAATTTTATTTTTGGCCAATTAGCACATCTACCACCACAAAATAAATAGAAATTTAAGAATAAAAAATTAAAGATCTTCTTTTTTCTTATTACGCCCGTCACTGCCTTGAAATCTCTAAATTTAAGATATGTATTATTTACTTCCTGAACTAATTATATATTTAACTTAAAGCATTTAATCATCCCATTACTACACTGTTACATTCACGAAAAAAAAAATTCATTTTCATTTTCTCCTTCATTAGGATGTTGTTTTGGCAAAAACAATTTTGTAACTACGAAAACCAATTCGCAAAACAAGGAATAAAAGAAGTCTTGCATAGGAACGTGGGATAGGGCCTCATATCCTATCCCTACACCATTTAACCTAGGATGAAACCCTTGAAAAACACATAAAATTTGCATGGGTGATGTATATAATCAACATACTGTAGTGAAAGTAATTTCCCATTGAAACTGATAATTAATGAGGGTGATTCATCAATGTAACTGATTATGTGATAGCCTCTTGCTCTCTAACAAAGACTCTCTGAGGCTCAGGGGAGTATTAAATATTTAGTTGTGAAAAACACTCCCCAAATTTCTTTTGCCAGAACTTTAATCCAGGATCATAGATTGGAAAGAAAATATACATCAGCTTTAATCCAAATATTACAAAAAATACTGAAAAGGGCAAATAATTAGCAAACAACATTTTCTTGCTTTGATAAAATCTGCCACCATCCAATAAACAAGAATTAAAGTTCAAAAATTGTATTTAATTTTTTGGTCCGTTAGTGCATCTGCCACTCCGACTATCAAATTTTCAGATATTAGGAAATATCTTTCTTATATCATTTTGCTAAATCAGAAAACAATTTTTCCTGTATAAATATTGGTTGTATGATTTTTATCATGGCAGACACTATTCACTATGTGTTCTCATTGATTAATTTTCAATAAAAAAAATCTTGAAATCTAAAACTCTGACATAGTATTCCTAATTTTTTTTTACTGTTAGGGGAGACTTTTTTTTACGCTTAGCGAACCAACCGCCCGCCAATAATGATGATTTTGGATAAAAATAAAATTTTATTTTTGGAAAAATAGCGCGCATGCTGCCATGAAAAATTAGAAATTTCAGAAAAAAAATATATGTTTTTCTTTATTTTTATTACGTCTGTCGCTGCATTGGAATCTCCAAAAATAAGATATGTATATTTCTTCCTAAGTATATAAATTTAAAGCATAAGCATCTGATTACTACACTGTTTTACATTAACCAATAAAATTATATTTTTATTTTTTCCTCCGTCTGAATGTTTTTGGCAAAGAGAAACTATGAATAAAAAATTATATTTATATTTTTTTCTGCCCTCCTCTGACAATCTAAAAAAAAAATAAGTCCGCAAAACAAGGTATACAAATAGTCTTACTCTGTTGACAGATGAGTAAGAAAACTTGTACAAAACCACAATAATTACTATTCAATAAAGTGTATTATATTTAAATATACTGTATTTGACATGGTCTGTTAAATGCAGACTACTAAAGAAAGATGTTTCTTAAAAACCTTCATGGTAATCCATGGTTATCCCTCAGTATTATGGGTTCGATAGCCTAATAATCCCACTCAATTTAATTCACACAGGTAGCGTAAATAAATGAGGCCGAAGGTTGCTAACTGCTCAATATGTCAAGGTCCCTATATTTTTTAAAATCCATGATTCATATCAGAACTGAGTTTATAAAAGAAAGAATTTATAGTGACTAAGACAATAAGAGGTCACAGTTCAATGCACATTAACAGGTTGGTGCCAGTTTCATCCTCATTATTTGGGTCATCGAATAGACGTGGGCTTCACATCGGGAGATAGTATATTTCGGTGAACTGAATTTTAATTCTACACTGCAATATTCGACTAGAAATTAAATACCGGCAGTGTATTCATGAAGAAGAGCTCAATCGATCGATCAATCCCAGGGACATTTTTATTAGCTTTCTGTCAGCATTGGCAATGGGGTTTGGATTTTGTGCATAAATAATGAACAAGAGGCCTTGTCGGAAAGGAAATTTAATTTGCTTGTTTTCAAAAAAATTAACAATGTTTTGAGATGAAATTAAGTAGAAAAGTACTATTCATAACAAATTAATACCTATTATATACACCTTTTTTGTCTAAACAGTTAGCTTTAATCACAATTATATTGGTTTTACACGAATGACTGCTTACATTTTCTATATTTCAAGTGGAATAAATTGTGGAAAATGTGGAGGGAATACAGCCAAAAAATTATATTATGAAGTAAGATGTGTACTATTACTTCATTAAACATTATTTTGCTTTAAAAATTAGAAACACTAACACAAAGAAATAAGGAGCAGGCTATTGGTTAAAGGTCTTATAAGAAGGAATGCAATTAGTTTTCATATATTTTGTGGTTTGAGACCTAGTAGAATTTGAGTATTTTTCATAACAATTAAAGGCAATTTCTTGTTTAAGAACAATGGCTCTATTGCTATAATTGCTTAAGAAAGGTCACTTCTCAGCAAGGAGGCCCAACAAACTGCTTAGATAATTTGACTAGAAAACTGTATATATACTTTATATATACATGTAAATAACAACAGAGAAATTGATAAAATCAGATTACATTGGTGATGTATATGTATGTACATACATACATATTCTTTATTCAACTTTATTTATAGAGAGTAACCCTTCCAACTATACAATACTATCAACATACCTGTTGCTACTTGGGTGCAGATTCAACACTAGTTACTAAGTGCAAGCTCAGTAGTCTAGTGATTATGGCCCCAGTCTAGTTATCTGGAGGTTGTGGTTCGATTCCCACCCGAATCAATTGCAAATTTTTTTGGAAGTATTTAGAAACGTAATAATAACAATAATAATTCCATACTTCTATTAGCGCATTCCGTAAAAAACCTCAATGCACTTTACAAAAAGAAAACAAGCAGTAAATAAATTTTGAATTAAACTACAGTACTTAAACTAAAACAGTTCCGAAAAAGAATTTGCATTATCGGTACAAGTATCCAGAACAGGGCTCCACCCACCGATGGCGAATACACATCAGGTAGGGCAAACATCACTCCTATGACATTTTCCTAATGCAAACTCACATCAAAACTAACAATATATCTACATATTATATATCTATATAAAAAAAAACATTCACAGATGAAAATCTAGAGTGACCTAAGCCTATATAGCTCATATTTCTATATCACTCAATACATGGGAGAATGAAATTACAAAAGGAACGAGTTATAAGTTAAATGTTTATCATTTCCAAAAAATATTTTTGTATTTACATTAAGCATTCAAGCTAATCACCGATGATACTTAATAGATAAGATTCAAGAGTTCTAACAAAAGCTTCCTTTTTAAGTCCCAACATATCTGATGTTTATCACTTAAAGTACCGCATTAGACCATGCACTTTACACACCCTCATTACTTGATTTCATCTTCCCTACAGCTTTCCTAGTAGACCCCTATTTTATTATGCATTTCTTAGCTGATCCCTGAAAGGCTACAGGCACAAGATTGCCGATTGGTTGAAAAAGAGTGTTGTAGTGTATGTGGTTGTCAAGGTGTAGATACACCTTAGAAAAGTAGTTCTGTGCTCATACGATATCATCTCCTATGGGAATAGGTTAACGAATGGAGAATTATACTGAAGTCGGTTTAAATTTATAAACTACATAATAGATATTGCTTTTGATGACCATCTGAGGAGATAAAAAAAAAATCCCACAGGCCTACTAAAGCCATAATCTGTAAAAGAAGTCCCCCAAAATCCTAGTAAAGTAGCTGATAAATTGTCGTACTGTAGTCTGTCTACAACATCATGACTCCACAAACGCAAGATGAGCTAAACTAATTAGTCAATGCATTTAGATAGGATATAGATTATAAATTGGAAGTCAGAAAAAAAATACCAATTTGCGAATTTATGTGTATTAAAAGCAATGAGATAAAATGGCAGATGTACATATGGAAAACCTATTTAAAAATTAAATTTTGATTAGCCATATCATATAGAAGTAGCTGTTGCCAACCAAATTGTTTTAAACAATGAAGGAAAAATACAACTAATGGACCATTTCTATATCCTTTGCATAGTTTTAAGTTAGCTGGTACTAAATTTAAGGACATTTTGTAATGTGTGTATGATGAACTATTAATATTTAATAAACCTTCAGGAGTACCAGTCAAACTTAACAAGAGACAATCAACACCGCAACTGACCAATAAGAACACAGAGACAGTAATACGTCCTTGTTCCACAAACACACTCTTTTGTTTATGTTGACACTGTTGTTTGGTGGGATCTTAGCAACAACATACAAGACGACTTAACAAAATGGTTTGTTCCTTTGTCACAATTACCAAATGTATGTATAGTTGCTTATAGACGAATCCAAGAGAAATTTTTTGAATGTTGCCCTCTTTTGTCGACGCCATTACTGAGGTGGCATTTCCAAAGTTGGAAAAGATGTTTAAATACACAAAATATAATTAACTTTGATAAATTTTTAGTTTGAAGACTGACAGCATTATTTAGCTGCAAAATAAAAAGCCGGATTTCTCAATGGTACTGTGTTTA